GAATGATCTCAATCCGATGTTGAGGTAGATGGATATGCTTAATTTTTAGCATTTCTTTTCTGTTTACTGAAAATAGTAACTTTGAAAATCTGAATTTACATAAGATATAACATCCTGGAAACAGAATCCATGTTCCACCTTCAGACATGTCGGCACACACACGCACACTTGGATGGTGGTATTGGTAAGAAAAAGTGAGAAATTCAAAGCATTTTAAGCAGATGCACATGGAAATTTGAGATTGCGGCATTTTATTTCAATTTTAGTTATTTATCATAGATATGACTTCTTTTACCCCTTTTTGATCCAGGAGTTTTCAAAGTCAAAATTAATTTTACATCTATGCAATGGATTTGTGAAATAGTCACATATAATTAAAAGTCGATTCAGGTGAAGGGTAATTTTTATTATGCATTAAGCATAACTAATGCATAACCCTTTCCTGCCTTTAGTTGAAGCCCTGTTTGAAATATTTTCTACTTCCGTGGTTTTTTTTTTGACAACTTCATATGGAAAGCAAGTTAAGAGGCATTAAAACCCGGACAGCCACTTAGAGTAAGCTTTCAGGCAACTTTTGTTACTTTGAAGACTGCTTTACATTTAGAACATTGTATTAAGCATCTCCCAACTAACAAAACAACCTTACAGAAGTCATTTGGAGCTTAGTTTGGGCTAAAGAACTTTTTTCCCATAAAAGCAGCCATCAGGAAAACAGCTATGTTATAGGCAAAATAGCCTTTTATGGACCAGTCTGAGGGCCTAATAGTCGCTTAATCCTGTCTCTGTGGGGATGATAGGTTCAGAGTTGATATCAGGCTGTTGGCCATAGTAACTGCTTTCTATCTGGGAAAAGAAAAATTCTTCCAGGCATGATGGCTGCTGCCTAATGGCAAGGACATCTTTTCTACCTGGCCCTCCCCCTTACCTGAGTCTACATTTCGAAAGGAGACAGAGAGGCTAGGAGTAAGCCCCCATTAGTGAATCACAAGGGGAGTCCATAATTTTAACAGTAAATGAATGACTAAATGAGTTCTTCAAAGCTAATGTATTTTAAAGCTTTTATACCTTGAGCTCAATGGGAGATGCCTTAGGAATAGGTATTTCAATCACTTGAAAGATTTTTTTGCGGTAGAAATAGCTGGATGGTAGCAGAAAGAGATTATTAAAAAGAAAAAAGTCACTGTGCTTTTGGAGCTAGTCCACTTAAGTGCAGTCCTAAATATAGCGTATTACAGATGAGTTGCACCACAGCCATACTTGCAGTTTAGTTGGAGACACAAGGCATAGATTGGTGAAACATATAACGAAATACATGGGCAGTATGTAAATAGGACCTCATTAATGCTACTAGCACTGTCATCTAGAGCTTTCTGCCATGATAGAATGTTCTGTATTGGTGCCATCCAATGTGGTAGCCACTAGCCACATGGGACTACGGAGCACTTGAAATGTGGCTAGTGTGGTCGAGGAACTGAATTTTAGATTTTACTTAATTATACTTAATTTAAATGTCAATAGCCACCTGATCTAGTGGTCATGGTATTACACGGTGCAGGTAGACCTTAGATACTTTAAGAATTCAGAGTCAGGGAAAAATGCTGTGGGTTAGAGTAAGAAGGGAAGATTGTCAAAGGCTTGGAAATTTCATAGAAAGGAGGAGAGGCGTACGCTAGGCTGGAATGTCCAGGATTTGGTCATAAAATAGGAGATAGCTTGGCTGAAGAACGTGGCTCCAGTAGGGAAGTGGAGGGAAATCAAGATTGGTGCAGATTTGTGGAGGTCCCTGAGTGTCAGTGCCAAGATTAATCCTGAAGGCAATAGGGAACCAAGAAGCTGATACCTGTTAACTGTGACATATTATGCAAATACCATACTCATTACTGAAGGCTTTCCAATAGAATGGGTGCTTTAGGAAGATTCAGCTGGCATGGGAGATAGAGAGGGAGAAAAGACTCCTGGAGGTCTCATGTGGTTGAGTATTACAGCAGCGTCCGTCTGTGATCTAAGGAGCCAGGTGGGAGTGGGAGTTACAGTAGAAAGACCTGGCTGGCAAAGCGGCTTTATGGAATGAATCAACAAGATTTACTGACTGGATAGTCAAGAATTATTCATTCAGTAAGTAGCTATTGAGCGTCTCCCATGTGCCAGGCCCCGATCTAGACTTGGGGCTACATCAGTAAAAGAACAGATAAAACTTCTTGCCCTGGTGGAGCCTACAATCTAATGAGGATTGGAGTTTTGTGGCTGACAAAATGCTGGTGCGGTTGATTCAAGAGGAAATTCAGGTGAATCCTGTTGGATGTGGGAGATGAAATCAATATTGGAAACCAGGCCAGGAAGGCCAATGAAATAGCCGTGCGTGCGCGCGCGCACACACACACACACACACACACACACACACACACACACACATACAGACACCATACACCCACACCACACACAACATTTTCACCCTTCTTGAGGGTTAACCCTCAAATGAATTCGTCCACGTCAGTAAATCTCAGCCAGGTGGAGAAAGTATCTCTCCCATACATTTCCTGTGCATTGGTGGTGTGCCTTCGAGGCCTGCCCAGCTTGCCCAGCTTGCCTGGGAGGCCTCCTGCCTAGCTCTGACCTCCACTCTGGGACCACCTCCCCTTGCAGACTATTTCTTGGTGCCACCTCATCTTCCTAAAGCACATTCACGTCACTTTCTGACTCCTATACCTTCCTGCTCCCTTTCTGACCTTGGTTTGGCATGGCAACCAAGGATTTTCATGATCTGAAGCTAGTGTGCTTTCTTTATTCCTCAAAGCTGGCTTTCCACCCAAAACGTAGTGTGTGCGTCCCCTGTACTGCCTTGTGCTTGGACATGATGTGTTTCCTTGGGGTGTTTTCTCTCTTTTTGAATGTCCAGTCGTGCCCATTCCCTGCAGGCTCCCCTCAAGGCTCCTCCTACAAATTCCAGTTGAAATACCATTTCCTCAAGTAAGCCTTTCCCTAGCCTGATCCCAGATTGACTGACTTAGGATCCCAGAGGTCTGGAAATTTGTATCTCCTTTGGCATCTTGTATAATGCCTTGCCCACAGTAGGTGCTTTATATATGTTGGAGTTGAAAGAGATAATGTGTATTTACTCTGCGAGCAGCTGATTGAGGTCCAGAACATAGGCTAAAATGGGAAGCTAGCATGACCTAGATATTAGAACTCAACAAATCACACGCAACAAAAAATAAAATCCCAAACTATAGACTAATGTTGGTTATTAATAAAGATGTGAAAATCTTGAATAAAATAGTAGACTAATTTAAAAAGCATTAAAGAATAATCGATCATGACTGAATAGTGTGTTTATCCCAGGAGTTAAATCGATTAACGCATCATATTGATCAAACAAAAGAGACAACCTCTATGTCAGCATAGATGCTCAATAGGCAGTCTCCAGTATCTAAACCCTGCTGCTCACAATCTCATAGCAAACTAGGAAGAGAAGAATACTTCTTAAACAAGAGAAAGAATACCTTTTACAAACCAATATCCAACAGTAAACTCAATGGTGAAATAGTAGGGGATTCCTGTTAAAAACAGAGACAAATAAAAGACGTGCACTCTTGTGACTAATAAAGTTGTTAAAATGGGTAATGCTGGCTAATGCTGTCTGGGGAGTGAGGCTGGTGTTTTCCTGCCTGTTTGTAGAAATATGAATCAATACAACCTTTTGGAAAATCAATTGGGGGTCTGTTTCACAAACCATAAAAATATTCATGCCCACTGGCTTAGACATTTGCTCCTCAGAAATTCTCCTAAGGAAATCTGATACGTTGACAGAGATATAAACAGGTACTCATTATAACGTTAATTAGAAGAATCAGAAATGACAATAATCTAAATGCTTTACAATGGGTAAATACTTAAGACTATTATGGGATATCCCTGCAGTGGAATATAATCACTATATAGTCATTAGAAATATTTAGACTATATTACACTATATTAGAAATATAGTCCCTGGAAATATTTAAGGCTTTTTTTTTTTTAAAGATTTTATTTTTCTCCTTTTTCTCCCCAAAGCCCCCCGTTACATAGTTGTATATTCTTCGTTGTGGGTCCTTCTAGTTGCGGCATGTGGGACGCTGCCTCAGCGTGGTTTGATGAGCAGTGCCATGTCCGCACCCAGGATTCGAACCAACAAAACACTGGGCCGCCTGCAGCGGACCGCGCGAACTTAACCACTCGGCCACAGGGCCAACCCCTATTTAAGGCTTTTGATGCCATGAGTATGCTCTTGTGTTGAATTAGAATGCCACAAATTGTATGTAAACATTCTCTCACTGTATATAAAAATCTCCTTTGTTTCTTGGTGGAGGGGTTAGAAGTCATTTTTCTTTTTTTTGGTTAAATTCCACTCCCACACTCCCCACTCTTCTGTTCCCCTAGCTGGACTCAACAAGTGGAACTTGAGAGCTAACTGTTTCTGAGATTCCGAGAGTCCCAGGAGCACAGGATGCCAGAGCTGGGAGGGCCCTCTGTCTTCCTGTCCCTTTTATTTTACACATCGCATACCAGTACAAAGGCTAGCCCCTGGGTGATGGAGCAGATCTGATTCTTGGTCTTGTCTTCCTTCTATTCCCTGAGAAGGTCATTGACTCAAAAAGCACAGCGAGTGCTGGGAGATGACTTTAAAGCCAAGTGTCTGTTTTTTCAATTCTGTTTCTCACTAGCTATTGATACGAGTTGAAAGTGGAAAGAATGTGAGCACTGAGTAGTTAGGGAGGGAGAGCAAGGAACAGTTACTCTTTTTTTTGGAACAGGGTTATTCTGGTTGAGGAGTGGAGTGAGGGAGTTAGTTTGGCATGTCAGAATTCTTTCCACGTCTCTGCCAACATCTTTGTAGTCTTGGTCAAGATCACGGCACTATTCTGGGCCTTTTCAATTTTTTTTAATCTATAAAATTAGATGCATCAGACTCAAGTTACCTTTAGATCCATTAAACTATGGGAGTCAGTACTTGACGAGGTAAGACATGTTTAAGAATTTCTTTATTAGGGCCTCACCACCGGATTATTACAATAGCAAAGAATGAAACAGAGACTTTAGCCATTCATCTAGAGTAGGGCCACATCCCAGGTGCTCTTCTTTCGGGGCTTAGAATGACATTGTTTCGTTTTTTCTTTCACTGGGATATCTTTTTCACTAACACCTGGAATTCTTCAAAACTAACTTCTCCATCTCCGTTCTTGTCCAGTTCTTTGAAGAGGTCATCAATGGAGCTTGAACCCTAGTTTTAGACAAAAAAGATGGGATAAGTGAGAGGAGAGAAAATGAATCAGTTACCGCTCCACATTCTCTGAAATTAGAGGCACTAGGTCTGCGTTCCAAGAAGGCAGCTGAGTTTTTGGTCATATGCTGCTGAGAGGTAGAGGTGGAAAAACTAACTTTAGCTGTAGTATTGCTCCATGTCACAGAACTGGCTATACTTTTTTTTTTTTTTCCCATATCACACATTTATTATTTTAATATAATCGGGTTTCTAGGTAATCTTCTGTATTTTTCTTTATGCCTCTGAAAACTTTCTTTCAAGAAGGAGCCCGAGGGCTTCACTGGACTGCCGAGGGGCCCACGGCCCACAAACAGTTGAGGATTGCTTTCCCAGGGTTTTCCTGGGAGCCGGTTTTGCGTCCAGCTCCAGGGCTGGGCCGCCATCTAACCTGAGGCAGCATGCATGGCTGGCCACTGGCCAGCACTGTGCCGAGGGCTTTCTGTAGCCTCTGCAGTCCTCCCAACCACTCTGTGGGAGAGACCCACTTTACAGATGAGGAGACTGAGGCTCTGAGACAGCTGCTCACTTGCTCCAGGCCTCACAGCTGGTCAGAAGAGGGCTTGGGGCTCAAACATTGTCTCTAGAGCCCAACCCTTTAACTAGCAATGACCCCAGTTGTTTCCAGACCCTGGGCTGCAGCCCACCTCTGTGCTGTGCATGATGACTTTGCATCAATGGTTCTCACACTTCGTGCATCAGAATTACCAGATGGGCTTGCTGACCCTAGCAAATACAGATTGATGGGTCCCACTCCTAGAGTTTCGGATTCGCTAGGCTTGGGGGGAGGCCTGAGAATCTGTGTTTCCCACAGGTTCCCCGGTGCTGTTGATGCTGCTGGTCTAGGACTGACCACGCTCAGAGAACCACTGCTGGAGATGTTACATGAGATCATGTTCACCTTGACGCCCTATTGACTATTGATATTCCTGTAGTGTCTTAAGCAGACACTTTTTGTCTTTGCCGTAAAACTCAAATCTTAAAGCCATTGCAGCTCTGACTTTCTGTCTGTGACAAAATAGTACCTAGGAAACCTATTGTTTATAAGTCAGCTTCAAAACTGTTTTTTAATTGTGGTAAAAAACCGCATAACATAACCTTTACCATCTTAACCATTTCTAAGTGTCCAGTTCTGTAGTGTTAAGTATGTTCACATTGTTGTGCCACAGACCTCTATATCAAGATATGTCGTAACCCCTAAGATTCCTACAAAGACATTTGGCACTTTGTTGTGATAACAAACTGTAAGGTATTCAGCGTCTGTTTTATAAATACCAAACACTGTTTTCCTGAAGTATTTACTAGATTCTAAACCATACAAGGTGATGATGTAAACAGAGTATAGCTTGGAAAACCTTAGTAATCCTTATGGAAATATAATCAGGTACATGACTTGGTAAGTAGATTTTTCAAAATTTACCATTAGTCTTCCTACCTTTATTCAAATTATAAAAGTCATATGTTTTCTATAGGAAATACATTAAATATAGAAAAATTCCCCAGTCTTACCTTTTAAAACAACATGTTCATGTAGATTGCCTAGGCTTTCCTGTCAGATTATTTTTCTTCCTTTTATTATTATTATTCCTTCCTTTTATTATTATTCCTTCCTCTTATTATTATTATTATTGTTTTTCCTTTTGGAAAAATTTAACAGTTTTTTTAGGATTTAGTCTTTCTCAGAAACCTTTGTTTTTATTTTTAATTAAAAAGTCTCTCTTTCTGCTAGCACCTTGAACTTTTTTTTAAAGTTATTCTATGTTTTAACTAGAAGAAAATGAGAAAATATTGGATTATAAGCTCACTGAATTCAACCACTTTTCTTTATAGTGCTAAAAACAGAAACCTCAACAACTAAGACCAGAAACCTTCTCACATGTCATATTGGCAGAAGGGACATTTCTGGCTAAAATCTGAGAAGCAAATGCTTTCTTCTGAAGTTACAGCTAAATAGTGACCAAGTGAGATGTGATAGTTGCACAGGTTGCTTCTATTTTGAAGGTGGCTTTTAGTTGCAAGGGAAGGCATCGGAGCCCGGACAATCAGCAGTTCCCTGTTCCTCATGGCCTCCAGATGCGTTTAGATTTTGACAACTCTGAGGCGGCTTTGATGAGAAACTTTATGGCTAAGGAGAGGCAGTCCGGAAGATTGTTTAGAAATGCATGGTTGCCTCATTAACACACATTTAGGTGCTTGACGCAAATTAACACAAATTTAAATACTTTTGAAATTTAAATGGTTGTCGACAGAGGGCAATTTGTCAGTGAGAGGCAGGTTTTCTTAAGGGACTGCCAAGTAAGTGTTGGTGTTGTTGAGAGATCCTACCTATAACAGAGAAGCACGTCCAAGGCTGACTGTTATTTTGCCAGCCCCTTTGTTTTCCGAAAGCCTGGCACGGGGCTGCTGATTCCAGGCTGAAGGCCTTGGTGTGTCTGCTTGGCGACCAGCGGGTCTTCCAGGCCCAGCTCAGTGAAAGTGCAACCCCTGCTTCCGTTTGCTCTGGCTAGAGTACTATCCCCCAGGCTGTGAGGGATAGACGGCTCGGCCCTGGCTTTCTAGGAGATTGCTGTCTGAACCGTGACCTGCCACCAGGGGCGGAAAGCACCGGTTCAAGCGATGCTTCCCTCAAGCGATGCTGGCGCCTGGGCTGCTGCGCACCCTGCCCCGGCCGAGCTGCGCTCAGTGCTCAGTGTCGCAGCTCTCAGGCTCTCCCTGTGTCCTTTCCTCTCCGCACCCACTTCCACTCCCCCCATCAGAGGCCGGTTCAGCGGGCTCTGCGGTTGTGCACTCACTTTCAGTAAAGCGGGGAGTTCATTCTGGATCAGTAGCTTCAGCTCCTCCTTCGACAGCTGGTCTGGATCACCTTCTTTGGCTGCATATTTTTCAAAGATTTTCTTCAGTTCTTCAGGAGACTTTTTCACGCTCATTTTGGTGTCCTGTAACTTGGGAAAGAAATGAATTTACCAAAAAGCTGGAGTGGAGTTTTATACTGATGATTGCCAGCAAGGGTTTAGTGCCCTTGGGCTGTTTCCTTGGCACAGGTGGGGGAAAGTAAAGAAAAGGGGGGAGGGAGAGAAGAAATAGAGGGGGAGGAGGAGAAGGGAGGCGGCAGGAACCGTTGGAACTGCACATATTTTAAAGAGAATCATCTTAGACAGTATTGTAAATGTTTGTTCTTAGAGTACATCTGTTAGGAGATAGTCCCTGGAGCCAAACACTTTTATTGGTAATTATGATATTCTTTACTTTTTATGTACCTGGTCTGCGCTCTAGGCTGTGGTCTTGAAGAACCCTGACCACAGCTTCTAGCCTCTAAGTGACTGTTTAGATGGCACAAACCCACTTTCTCCCCAGACCATTATCGTTCACACCATTCTGAAAGGAAGCAGAGTGAATATCAATGCAAGCAGAAGGAGCTCCAGATAATACTAAGATCACACTTACCTGGTCACCCAGCAGTGAGGCAGCTAGGAGAATGGAACAGGAGTGTGAGGAGCTGAGCAGGGTTGTGCGGCTTTTATAGTCTTCACAGGCACACCACGCTGATTATGAAATTTTCCTTTTGTTTGCCTCTTAAGGGTAATTATTAATGGTTTTTGAAACCGAGCTTAAGATTGCATGAACCTCGTAACTAAGGGCAAGATACAATAAAGGGGCCCCTCCCCAATTGCTTCATGGTTCAAAGTCCCAAGAGTAAGCGTGGATTTTTTCCCCCTTAGGTTATATTTTCCCTCCAAGGTAGAATTATGGTTTGCTCACTGTTCACCTTTCGGAAAGCTTAAATATGGAAGGTTGGTTTATTTCAATTTAGTCGCATATTTAAGTTTGAAAAAATAACTTTCTTCACATCCAGGAACGAAAATACTATAATAGATGGTCAATACTACATAGTTTTAAAAAATTGCGGTCTGGCTGTTGAAGTCCCTCTGATGTTTTGTACATATTAGATGCTTAAATATTTGAATAACTGAATGAATGAATAGAAGTATCATTGAGAAGCAGGTTTAAGAAGCGGGGAGAAGATACACAGTAATTTGTGGTTTTATTTGGCAAAGCAAGATTACCAAGTAGTGCGGTCGTTTTTCAACCTTTTTATTATTTGTTCCCATATATGCTTTTTGTTTAATACCCTTTTCTTTACCAAATATATTTTGTTAATCATTCTAAAAACTTGTGAAAACACTTGACTGACTTTTATTCAATTGGAAATACTTCGAACTTTTAGAACTGCCGGGCTTTAAAATTGGAGACAAAATTTATTTCTATTGGAAAGAGTTCCATGAAAGAATGGGGACATTGATCTAATACTGATTATAACTCACAACAAGGGTTTTCAGATCGACTTTAAAAGCACTTACCAGCTTTTAACCACTTGGACACTTCCACTCCTGTATAATTTTCGCTGACCCTTCATTATTCAGCCCTAAAATTCTAGGGCCTTGTCTACCTTGGAGAACAAATGTGAAATCTCTTAGAGTTCCTTAAAAGCTTCCCACCAATCCCGAATGGTCATCGGTCATCGTTCCATGCACCTTCGCTGTCTTGTATATGTTATCCTTGCTTTTATCTCAGATTCTTTGACTTTGGTATGCATCAGTATTTTGACTATGTATTAACTCACTTCTTGGAGTAAAGATAAGCATTTTCTTTTTAGTTATAAGACTTTTACACAAAAATATTCTAATTTTGGCAATGCATTTTAATCAAGATTTTAGAGAATTTCCAGTGTTTTTATACTTATGCTCTGTTTTACCTTGGAGGAAGTAGGGTTTTGTTGAGCAATCGATAAGATTGTTGTTTTCCCTCTAAGACCTTTTTAAAACATTTCAAATCTACAGAAAAGTTGCAAGAATAGTTAGTGAACATCAACCCACATTTTGCCCAGATTCACTAATCGCTAACATTTCCACATTTGCTTTCTCTTTCTGTGGACAGAAACCTTTCCCCCCTTGAACCATTTGAGAATTAGTTACATATATCCAGAAACTTCCACCTAAATACCTCAGCATCTTATCTCCTCCCTCACACAACCACAATGCTATTATCACAACCCATATTCAAATTTCTCCAGTTGTGGAAATAGCATCTTAGATCATCTGTTCTCTCAAATTAGCTCTTGAGTTAAAATCAACATGGCAGTTGTTACATTTCTTGAGTCTATATTGAAGAAATGATTATATTAACTATGTATGACCTTAATAACTATATAATATATAACTATATGATTTTAGTAACTATCTGTTATATGACAGGTATGTGTTATATATAACACGACATATATATGACATGTGTGTATGTATGTATGTGTGTGTATATATATAAAATTAACTCTAAGAAAAACATTTGGAACAGTATTGGTTAATAGTCTTTTAGGCTACAAGTCTCTCGTTTCAAGGGAAGACCTCTGATTAAAATAGGCCCAATGCTGCTTGTTGTTAGAACTTAATGCTTGTAGTAACGATAACAAAACTTGACAAATGACTCATGGGTCTTCTTAAATTTTTACTTGCTCAGCTCTGCCAGTCACATCTCTCATCTCTTATTTTTCTCTTTACCTATAGACTCAAGTGTGAGGGTAAACCTGCAGTGGGAAACATGAAAGCCACCAATAGATATTCTCATGAAACATTAACTAAAAATATATGGAGACGGGCGATAAATGCAGGGTGTGTTCAAAAGAGTGCATTTTGAAACTAGAGAAAGGGGAAAAAATGACAGGCACAAGATTGGTTATGGAGAAATGGAGAGGCAAAGGTTACTTGTCACCTCACTATTCAATTGCTTGATCTTTGGACAGACTTATGTTTTTCCTAGGAAAGCTAAGAGTAACTTATTTTAAAAGCTCCGGGTACCAGAGGCTTCCGTAGCTGCGTTCTTCTACTGAAGTCCACAGCAGGCAGCGCCTGGAAAAGCACCTTCAGGAAGAGGGTGCAGTATCAGTACCCAGGCCCTGCAAAACAAAATGGGTGGGAAGTGCTCTCCATGTGGTCTTTGATCCTGAGGTTTGGAGGAGACCCTGACTGCTCCGGTGCAGCCGTCCCTAAAAGGGAGCCCCATCTCCTTCCCTGCCTTCCCTGAGCCCTAGGACAGGGTTCACCTTCTTTTCCACTTCCAACCTTTTCCTGGGCTGTGGGTCTCACCGGTTTGGAGGCCTGCCTGTGCTGGCCCTGGGTGGTTGAGTTCCCTGAGGCCTCCTGAGGCCTCCTGATCATAGCACGTTTATTGAGAGCTGATTTTTACTGTGGGCTGTGTGAGGCCCCCGGACCTGACCTATTACCTTGAGAAATTCCTGCTGCATTCCTGTGACTCGGATACCACTGTTACCTCCAGTCTACAGAGACTGTCAAGGACCCATTCAAGGTCACATCGCTGGGGGGTAATGGAGCTGGGTTTCTAGCCTAGGCCCAGCCTGCACCCTCAGCCACTGTGCCACCTGCCCCCTCCCAGGAGTGGGGCTTCTGTGAGAAGAGCTGGTAAATGTTAGTGTGAGGCCCAGAGGTAGGACTTCGATTTAAGTGTTATGGTCACACCTGAGGTAGAAGAATGTTCTTTTTCTGATGGAAGTAATATACGCCTTTATTTACTGGTGGAAAAAAACCAAGTTTAAAAGACTGGAAGATAAATACGAATTCATAGGACTGCTCAATGCTTTCACCATCATAGATTGCATCCTCTTGCTGCTCTGTGATATGGCGGGTTGGGAAGACAGAAAGGGAAATAATGGCCCTGTATCAGATGAGAGGTGGGCTTGAGCACTGTGGTGCCTCTGCCTCAGAGCAGGGCACTGCCTCTCCTCTCCCATCTGCTGAAGTGACCTGCCTGCAGCTTGGGACGATCCACGGCATCTCAGAGACCCCTCCGCCGCTCTTAGGCCCACTGACCAGTCCCTTAGTCTCCTCTCTTAGTTTTTGATAAAAATCTAGGGGGCTTTAATTATGGAGCACTCGATCAGAACCTGACGCTCTACTGGACTCTGGTGGAGACAGAGAAGATCTGGTTCTTGTGCTTGGCAAGCCCACACTTTAGTTTATGAGAGGAGGCACATATACAAAATGATGGAGGTTAAAGTTGTATACAGTAACGGACTGTATTAGTTCCCTATTGCTGCTGTAACACATTACCACAAGCTTAGTGGCTTAAAACAAGGCAAATTAATTTTCTTCCTGTCCTGGATCTGAGAGGTGTAAAGTGAGTTGGTAGAATGCATTCCTTCTGGAGGCTCTAGGGGGGAATCTGTTTCTTGGCCTTTTCCGGCTTCTAGAGACTGCCCACTCATGGCCTTTTTTTCCGTCTTCAAAGCCAGCAATGCAGCACCTTCCAATCTCTCTCTCTCTCTTTCTCTCTGGCCTCTGCTTTGTCATCCATCTCCTTCTCTGATTCTGACTCTCTTGCTTCCCTCTCATAAAGACCCTGTGGTGACACTGGGCCCACCCAGATAACTCAAGATAATCTTCCCATCTCAAGAGCCTTAATTTAATCATATCTGCAAAGTCCTTTTTGTCATGTGAGGTATCATATTCACAGGCTCCAAGGAGTAGGACTTGGACATTTTTTGTGGGGGGAGGGGGTGCATCATTCAAACTACCACAAGAATTAATTAAAAATGAATTGACAATGTATACGTTTTTTATTTGGTAGGGTGAGCATAACAGGGTGGTATTAATTATGGGGCAATAAGGAGAACTGGATGGTGCCCCTGAAGCATGAGCCCACTTGGAATGGTAGGGAGAGGCCTCTTAGGAAAAGTAGTGAAGAGGCAAGATGTGTGTAGTGGGCTTGTGCGGAGGGGAGCAGAGGAGCCATTGGCAGTGGACCCTTCTGGCTGAGGTGGGAAACACAAGTTAGAATACATGGAGAGACCATAGCTAGACTGGGTTTCTGAATGAGGTGGTGGAACCTGAGTGCCACGTGGAAGAGTTTAGATTTGATCTGTGGCTATGGTGGCTGCTGCAGCTAGTAGTGTGACTCAGCATTAATTCATACTGAACAACATGAATTGGTTCATACTTTCTGCACAACTTGAATATGGCTCATCAAGAATCAAAATCAGGGGCTGGCCTAGTGGCTTAGCGGTTAAGTTGGCACGCTCTGCTTTGGCGGCCCAGGGGTCACTGGTTTGGATCCCAGGCGCGGACCTATGTACCACTCATCAAGCCACACTGTGGCAGGCCTCCCGCATATGAAATAGAGGAATGGGGCCTGCCCTGTGGCCAAGTGGTTAAGTTTGCATGCTCTACTTCGGCAGCCCACGATTTTGCCGGTTTGGATCCTGGGCATGGACCTAGCACTGCTCATCAAGCCATGCTGAGATGGTGTCCCACATAGCAGAGCCAGAAGGACCTACAACTGGAATATACAACTGTGTACTGGGAGGCTTTGGGAAGAAGAAGACAAAAAAAAAAGATTGGCAACAGATGTTAGCTCAGGTGCCAATCTTTAAAAAAAAATAGAGGAAGATGGGCACAGATGTTAGCTCAGGGCCAATCTTCCTCAGCAAAAGGAGGAGGGTTGGCAGCAGATGTTAGCTCAGGGCTAATCTTCTGGAAAAAAAAAAAAAAAGAATCAAAATCCGAAACAGGCTTGAAAAAAAAAAATAACCAGAAAAACTTAATGGACAGGAGGAAAGGAATGGGTTGGGGAAATCCTTGTAAAGAATACATGAAGAATATACTAGAAAGTCTGAGAGAATCACTGTTTGTGTGGCCTAAGAGACTGGAAACGGTCTGCTGGGGGGTAGGCTCTCCCAATATCCCCAAATCAAATGTCCAAAGGCAAGGGACGTGAGGGAAGCCAGCCTTCCCAGGGCTCTGGCGGCTTGGTTAGAAGGCTTCCCCTCCTTCATGCACTGCCATTTAGGAATTTCATCTTTGATAAGAGAACCTAAGTTCCCTAAACCTTGTTGTTTAAGGCACCCGAGATGCATAAGATCTTGAACCCATTGCACTTTTATTGCGGGCTGCAGAAACTTTGGTAAAGGTTAATTAGTGCCGTATTTATCCCTATGTGGTACTTTTACATCTCCTAAAGCTTTATCACCACCAATTTTCGTTACTTATTGATCTTTTTTTATTTTTCTTGTACTATGTGGTTCAGTTCCAAGAAAGGACAGATCTGTAGTGGAGATCAGATGACAGCCCGTATTTAAGTAAAATCAGAGCCCGCGGGCCAGGCAATCCTTTTGTAACGGAAGAGGCATTTTCCTCTTAAACGCAAAATTTAGGGTATTTGGGAAATGTTGAGATTAAAACTAAAGCATATTTGAGGTTCTTTTCTTTAATCACCCCAGTAATGATAAAAGATATGTTTTGAAACTGTGATGTTCTCCTGTCTCTCACACTTTTTGTGGAAGGAATGCCAGGAACAAAGATGTTTTCCTGAATTTTGTTGCTGAATCAGGTTGCTTACAACCCGAGAGGCACCACAGTGTTATCTTTAGGGCCTGTAGGACTTGTACGATTGCCTGATAACTCTGCAAGGCAGCTGGTTGGGCCAGGCTTGGCCAAAAAGGCACTGTATTCTTGACCTTCC